CGCTCACATATTTAATGGTACCCTTGGGGAAACGCCAACATCGGCGCACGGATGACGTCGCCGTGAACTTCATGCGCTGATAAGAACTGAGACGCCAGCGATGAGGAGGCGACTGCGACGGCGACTGCGATGTCGACTTCATCGTGTAACTGTTTTCCCATCGATTATCGGCGTTTAATTAAACCTGCCCCATTCCACGGCGCAGCGATAATTGCTACTGGTATTTAGCAAGCGTTTCCGATAGCGCACCGTAACAAAAACAACAAACAGAGAGGAAGAGAGAGGTAGATGGGGGGAAGGGGGGGCATTAAAATATGGTAACAAAAAATTGAGGCAGATTTCTTTGGCTGATAGTGAACTATTTTTTGTGCGCCTTTTGATTTTTGCCGGCCTTTGCGCCGTCACCAGCCACGATAAGTGCCTTGCCAAATTGTGGTTGTAAATTATCAAGAGCCCCAAAAGAAAAAAAAAAAAAAAAACAAAACAAAAAAACGAAAAAAATAATAATAAAGGAAACACTTGATTCGAGTTTATTGTGTGCCGGCTGCAGCAACAAAAAAAAGCCTAAAAGGGGGCTAAAGCGCTATCAAAGTCTATAGGTTGTTAGCCATTAAGTGATCGGACAGTGATCGGCCAGTGATCAGCAAAAGAACAAGCCGCAATTATAATAGAATGCAATTAAAACATTGCATTAGTCATGCATAGGCGATTGCCTGATCTGTCTAGCAAGTTTGAGTTGACTTTTCACAAACAAGACATATTTATTTTATTAATATACTTTTACTTGTTCTTAAAATGCTACCTTTTGCTCGCAATAAGCGAGCTGCATTGTTGGGTAACGCACAGTAAAAACTTGAATAAGCTAAGGTATAGCAGAGAAAAGCATAAATAGTTGTCAATACATCATACTAATTTCATTCCCTCAAACTCACTTAAAGGTGTTTCAGTGTTGGGTAACTAACTCAAAAGATTGTTAGCAGCTTACTTTTCAAACAGTGTTGCGTTGACAAGGTTGAATAATGTTAGGTAAAGCCCCAAGCTGTCTGTTAACTAATGCTATTACAAGAACTGTATTTTTCTGACTTCTTGAACCATTTAGAAATTTACATCACTTTTATCGGCATTTGTGAGTTTTACATGGTACTTAAACTATAGTATCATATTTCCCAGGCATTAAGTGTTTAACGTTTGATTAGTTAATGCCGTTTTAGATATACATTTTAATTAACTCGATTTAGTAGCCATATAAATAAGTCTTAAATATTTTTAAACGATGGGATTGCAACGCTTGAATGTAATGCCACCTGTTCTGCATACGACTTTATATTGGATTTCATGTTAATTTTTTGTTTTATTACAGCGATTTATAATATTTAAGTTCGAGCATTTAACAAATTATGCGCATTTTTGATTTGCACTATAAAAGCCAAAGGCAAACGCCCAAAACCCACTCACACATGCCAATTAATTATGCAAATCCTCTGACCACATTGAAAACTAATCTACAGCATCTGAATTGTTTTTTTTTCTTCTCTTTTTTTTTTGTTTTTCACTCTCGATAAGAAAATATGTTAATGAGAATTTATGAGCACACAGTGCCTAAACGTACCCAAAAATGCTTTGCAGTTTCACTTCTCCCCGCCGCCTCCCTCTCTCCCCCCCTCTTTCTGTGTGTGTGTGTGGTATGCCTTTAATTGAGTCGAGCGCTGAGGCACATTACTCATACGCCACGTACGCCGCAAACAACTTTTTGATAGATAAGCCCCGAGCCGTGACGTTCATTTATCATACGAAATTCATGAGGCTGCTGCGTCAAATTTCAACACAGACCTCGCTGACCTCTCAGGTACGCCTGTCCAAAACTTCACATAGATATACTTATATACCCCACGGTCTATTAGGCAATGTGCGTGTTGTGGTCATCTAATGGACTCGAGTCGAACGTCCAGAGTGGTCCCAGGCCCGTTCCGGCTGCTCATTTTCATTTGCTGGCTTTTCAGCATTTGCGTAATGTATAAATTCAATTCAATTATACATATATCAGATATACATGGGCTTTATGGTTCACTTTGTAACATTAAGCTAAAATGTACAAGAAACCCAGGCTAATCGTCTTCTTTGGTAGGTAAACCAAGAGCTCTTAAGTCTTGAAAGAATACCAACTTCTGAAAACCTCATTTGCTGGCAGATGAAGTTTCAAGTTATATAGAGTATTTGTAATTTCACATGACGCCTGTTGCCGCTCCAATTGATTTTGCGCCTGTAAGTACATACGATATGTATCTTTCAGAGTGGCTTAGGCCAAAGTTAATTTGCAAGGCGGCATGTTTCATATCAGACGCCGAAATGCTTTCAAGATGACTCAACAACAACATGTTTCTTGTGCTAGTTGTTGTTTTTGTTGTTGTTGTTATACGTTGGTCGAACCACTTGAGAGAAAAACATGTTCTTTTTGGTTTATCTTGGCGCCACGATCGTCGGCACCGGGCGCGGTATTTGCTCAAAAAACACAAAAGGCGATAATTAAACGCAAAACAAAGCTGGCCGAGAACAGACACTGAGAGACCCAAAGGCAGAAACGGAGGCCGAACGCGAAGACGAAGGCGAAGACTCGCACGGCAAGCACATCAACTGGTCGGCCTTTAATTAGAAAAGGTGTAGAGCCCAACAAAAGCACACACACGCACACAGCTCGAGCCAAAGTTGCCTTTTTTGGGCGCGCAAAGTGCATAAAAAATGACGACAGCTAATGAATGTCGGACGGAATCTGAATCCGACTCCGATGTTGGCTTGGCGACTCCGTGAAGCCGCGACTCTGCTGCCAGCTGCTCGCCAGCAATTTATTAGACAGATGATGTGCCAACAAGGCAAAGTTTTCAAAAAACGAAAAAAAAAATTAATAATAATAATAAAAACCAAAAAAGACATAAACTAAAGATAAACTTCATAATTGTGTCTGTGTGGCCAAGAAAAACAAAAGTTGTTCTTGTTGTTGCAGTTGCTGTGGCTGTGGCTCTAGCCGTATCTCGCATGTAAGTGTTAATGAAGTTAAGTGTTTCTGACGCGAACGACCAACAGCAACAAAAAACAACAAAAACAACAATTAATGAGAAGTCGCATACCAGACAAAAATAACAACAAAAAAAAAAAACAAAAAGCTACGACGAGGGCGAAACGCACAAAAATGTTCGGGCCACATGATTAAGATCAACAATAGCACAAAAAAAAAATAATAATACGAAAAAAAAAATAAAAGAAATAAAACCACAGAGAAGAGCACAGCGCATGGGCCAAAGACCAGCAAGTATCTTGCGGATAGCTCAAGGCAAACTAACTACAAGTTGCTGTCGGCTGCCAAGTGAAACTTAAGTCCAAGTTAATTGAAAGCTGACAGATTTCCTCGAAAAAGGCAGTATCTGACAGAATAAAAGGGCACTTGATTAAATGTGAATTTTAAATGGCCAACACTTCATGAATAATTGGTATAAACTATCTGAAAGATACTGCAAAAGTAATACAAAATAATGTTATCTCTCACCTTTGTATTTAGGCAGAGTATTTTATCATTGGTTATTGGGAAAAGGTTTTTGATAATTGTCGATTAATTGGATAATTAGATCAGATACAAGTCCTGCACTTATTGGTGTATGGATAAAGCTTTGTCTTAACCAAGTAAAGTCTTCTGCTTGAAATCTTATTTAGTAGCCAAAGTTTTCCAAAGCTCGTATACGTATCGTGGCACTCCACATTTACTTATTTTCAATTTATTATAAATTGATTTTAATTCAATAGATTTTTACTCTGCATATTTAGAGTAGATTTTCTTTATTTAATTAACGCGGCTTAAGGATGGTTTCTTGGTTGAAGATTTGAATGCGTGTTTCTATTAACGAACGTCTTGCTGCTTAGCTAAGAACCAAAGTGCATTTCATAATTAGAGCCAGATAGCCCAGAATTCCATATTTTACACATAAACAAAATCAGGTCAGCAGGTGATTCGGTAAACAATGGAATCCACTTTTCGAGTCGAGCTCACTGCACCAACAATAGTTTGCCGAGCAACAACTCATTTTCTCCGGCACTTTGGCTAATTGTCTTCAATTGTCGTCGACTCTCGGCTGGGAAATAACAAAGCATCTAGCTGGGACTCGTCTGCATAATGCTTATGCAATTAAAAATCATGTCCTGCCGCAGAGCCCGCACTCGAAAGAGTGAAATGAGAAAATGGGTCAGCTTTGCGGGCGCGCGGCGAGAACTGGCAATTTGTGTTCCACTTAATTAATTAAAAGGAGTAGAAGCGAGGCAGGGCAGAGGTAAAAATAAAGCAGAACCCAAGCGTAGACAGCGAAGAGCAGGATAAGCGCGACTCAAGTTTTTTTTTGCTGCGGCTTACGCGGCGTATGAGTAATGAAATGGGCAACACTTTTGTCGGGCCCGAGACCAGGGACTTTTGTGGGCCGCGTCATTCTGGATATTGCTTTAGACTTTTCAATAAAAAACCAAATACTTTTCGGACGACGCCGGCGACGGCGGCAACTTCTACTGAGCTGACGACGTCATTAATTAGGAATTCTCTCGGCGCAGTCGCCTTTCAAGTGTTTGTCTGGCTGCTGCGCCTGGTCGCCATCGTTTTGTGTTGGCGTTGAGGCATAAAAGTTTCTTAGTTGTTATTTTTATTTTTTTAATGCGTTTTTGTGCAAATTGCAAATAAATGGCTAGCAGCCGCCGCCACAGTGGCAGCCGCAGCCGCAGACAAAGTCAAAGGCAAAATGTGCCGCCAAAAGAAAAATGCCCAACTGCCAAGCAGGGAGGGGCTACGGGACTGGGGCACAGCTTAGTTATACAGTCAAGAGAGTGGGTGAGGGGGGACTTTAGATAAGCAACAACAATGTGCAACTGTTGGATGCGACGTCAATTTCATGCCACTTTGCATTTTAATTAAAATGTATCTATATCTGGTTCTCAACGTCTCTCTCCCTTTCTATGCTTCTCGCCCACAGTTCAAGAATGCACCACAGACTCAGAGGAGCTAATGTATCATCAGGTGCGCGCCTCATCCTCGTGCAGTGCGCCGCCAGATTTGTTGCTGGTCAGCGAACGTGACAATAATATACAACTGAGAACGCCCGTGGTTAATATAATCACAACGCCTCCCGGCAATGCATCTGGCGCGGCCGCAGCCAAACAGCAGCAGCACCAACAGCAGCAGCAGCAACAGCATCTGCCACTCCAGCAGCAGCAGCAGCAGCAGCAGCATCATCATCATCATGTGACCCGACATCAGCAGCAGCAGCAGCTGCAGCAGGACATGAGCAGCAGCGGCAGCCACAGCAAACACTTGCGCATCAGCAGCAGCTCCAATGGCAAGCATGGCAAATATGTAAATATGCCACAGCAGCCCGAGGAGGATGTGGTAGATGCGGCAGCGGCCATGCCTATGCCACATGCAACGCATCCGCAATATTCGCGACATTTGCATCATCACAGCAAGGAGGAGCGCATCCGTCTGGAGGTGAGTTCATAGATTGCCTGATTGAATCAAATTGTGTTTAAATTTCGAGCTCTTAAATAAAATACCAAATACCAATTTAATTCGCTAATACTAAATCAGATTTAATATAAAGCGTGTTCTATAGAACATTAAAGAAATTGAAAAAGGTTTTGATATTGATTTGAATATTATTGAAAATGAGTTAATTAGATTCTTGTAGACATTGAGTTTCCCATAAAATAAATTGATTCATGTTTGTTTATGAAACTCACTCACGTCCAATAAAACAATCAATTTTATGAGTCAGTCATAAATTGCAAGCTGAAATTGGTTCCAATTACAAATGCTAATTATTAAATATAAAGTTTATTTGTTTATAATATATGCGCACATTTTACAGCATTTGCAGCTTGTTGGTTCTGCAATTGAATTTCTGATTTGTTAAACAAATTGCTTAGTTGTTTTTGTTTTTGTTTCTTTTTTTTTTTTTTTTTTTTTTTGGTGATTGCCAGGCTCTATATTATTTAAATTATGTTTGGTTTTACATTTTCAATTGACCCCCAACCAGGTGCAAATGTGGTTTGTGTGCTTGAATTGCGCTTCAGTTCTTTTGCTGCTGCTGGTCAAGTTTAATCAACTGGATGTTGTTGTTGTTCTTGTTCTTGTTTTTGGTTTGTTTGTTGTTGCTGCCGTTGCCATATTTCATGACCCACTGGGCAGCAGCACATAAACTCAACTTTTAAATGTGCTTTTAATTAAAATTTCAATGGTTTGCGATACAAAAACCGACAACAACAACAACAACAACAACAGCAAAGGCAGCTAAACATTTGCTTTGGGGGAAAATGTTTAATTAACACAATGTAGCCGGCAATTTTCAATTACCACCCACTGTAAGAGACATTCGCCTGTCTGCAGGCCAAAAAAATATCAAAACATTAAAATTCAATAAAACCCATTAAAAGCGCAGAAAATACAACAACAAACCAACCAAAAAAGAAAACAAAAACACAGCAAGAAAACTCGCTGCGAAAGCACTTAAAGGCAATTAAAAATCTTCAAGCCAAGTAGCTAGAAATTATATTTATTTCTCGCTCTCGCACGAGCGCGACTCCTGCTCTGTTTCAAGTGGGCGGGAATGGGGTGGGTGCAGTGCGGAAGTGTGGCTGGTTGTCGCTGCCGGCACTTTATCAATGGCCAAAAGTGTGAGGAGCAGGGAGGGCGGCGCTACTCTGCTCCGCTCTGCTCTGCTCTGTTTCATTTCATTGTTTTTTCTTATTCTGCTGCAGTTTCTGGCGCAGCGTGCGATAAATTAAATATTTAGTCAAATTATGGCCACAATTTTCGAATCTGCTTGCAGACATTATTGTTGTTGTTGCTTGGTAATTGCTCTACTTGTGTTTGCGGCTGTGCCTCACACACACACACGCACACGACACTCCCACTCGTGCTGAGAGTTGCCCACTGGGTTAGCAAAAAGTGCTGCATACTTTTCGGCGGGCGCTCTAAATTGTTTGTTGGCTGTTCGTGTTTCTACGCGCCGTTCTGTGGTTAAATGCTACAGTAGTTTTTTTTCTTTATTTCATTTATTTTCATTTTTGCACTTTTATGCAGCTTAAACAAAGTTAAGTATTGCACTCTATTTGCATTTGTAGCACTCGCTCAGCTGGCTATATTTGTGAATAGCTTCAAAGTTATGTGCAGCTTAAATGGCTCTGAAAAACTTTTAGTTGTGAATTATCTCACATTCATTGAAGCAGCTGCTTCACAAAAATATTTTAAGAGTTTTTATCGGGTAGATTTAGGTAGTTCATATTAAATAAAATATCAGACCAAGCTTTTATTTGGGATGAAAAATCCAAATCCTTGTTCATTTAAAGTCTCTGAAAAATCATTGAAATAACCTCAACTTCAACTTCAACTGACATCAACTTTTTGTTATCTATCCAATATTTTGATGCGAATAGGAATTCACCTGCGATGTATCCGTGGAGGGTGGCAAATCGTCGCAGCCGCTGCAATTTTCATTCACATTCTATGATCTGGATGGGCATCATGGCAAAATAACAAAGGACGACATTGTGGGCATTGTGTATACCATATACGAGTCCATTGGCAAGTCCGTGGTGGTGCCCCACTGTGGCAGCAAGACAATTAACGTGCGCCTCACCGTCAGTCCGGAAGGCAAATCGAAATCGCAGGCGGCGGCAGCTGCTGCGGCGGCGGCGGCAGCAACAGCAACATCCACATGCATCAACAACAACAGCAGCAACAACAACAACAACAGCAGCAGCAGCAAACTGAAGAAGCTGCCCACAGGGCTGGCGGCCATGTCAAAAACAGTGAATGGCGTGGCACTAACAACATCCGGCGGCGCACGCCGCCAGCATCGGCATCGACCACGCAAACTGATTAAGTCCGATGACGAGGACGATGACAGCAACAGCGACAAGGAGAAGGAGCTGGCAATAGCTGCCGCTGCTACCGCTGCTGCTGTCAATGCCGAGCACCAGCCCAGTGGCAGTGGCAGTGGCAAGCAGCCAAAGCCCAGATATCTGAGGAACAATACTAAATTGGAGCAGTGCTGCAGCGGACAGGCACAGCCGGCAGAGCAGCACACGCCGGACAATGGCCACAATACCTGCGAGAATATGCTGAATCTCAAATGCTGCAGCGGTGCCTCCAACAAGGAGGCAGTCGATGTCGTTGACTGTCCACAGCGCTCGCAGCGACACCAACACCACAGCCACGATGTCTACATGAAGCAGGCCACACAGCGCGTCAAAATGCTGCGCAAGGCGAGAAAACAAAAGGTAAGCACAAGCTACACAAGTGAAAATCAAATGCCTTAACTCCTGAAGCAGACAATGACTGGACTTTCACTGAACAATCAAGCAATATTCGACAGATGGAATTAGGCAATATATTACCAGAGATTAGATTGAAGTATTAGCAGGCGTAAAGTAGGAGTTAGGTAGATAAACAGATTAACCAGGCTTAATGTGCCATGTTTTTTCAAATGAGCATCGCCTTTCTATGTGATTCTCATGAATTCAAGGGATTAAAAGCAATAAAAAAGTTAGAGAGGAACAGAGATAGAAAAGAGGAAGCAAATGGAATTTAGAGTTTCAGATTCCAAATCAGTTAAGACATAGATGTGGATGCTTATAATAGTAATAAAAAACTTGTTCGTACTTGAGTTACAGACAGACGAACAGAATTTCAATTGTAACATTTTAAATCAAAAATAAAATGTACAATTAATTAGATTTGGCTGTAAAAGATCGTTTGTCAAGCAAAAGAACTTATCACAGAGTTAGTCGAGATTCCAGAAAATGTTGCTCTTTTGATTTCTTATGCATTATGTTGACTATTTATTTGCATAGCATTTCTTTAAAATATTATTTCAATTTCTTAATTTTAATTTGTTTGTACTGTTCTTTTCGTTTTTGGTTGACTCGCTCATTACGCACGATTGCATCACTTCGCCCATCCGCGACCCGCCATTCAGTACCAGGATCACTGCCTCGAAACGCGTCAGCGCAGCCTGTCCGTGGGCAACGACTCCTGCTGGCAAAATCGCCACATGCAACAGCAGCAGCAGCAGCAACAACAGCAGCAGCAGCAACAGCAGCAGCAACTGGCCAGTTCGACTCATGGCCAGGCTCAGAAGAGCGCCTCGTCCTCGCCACCTTTGGGCGATGTGATGCTCGATGGCGTCCAATTGCGCCAGCCACGCCCACAATCGCTGCTGACCCAGCGCAAGTCCGCCGAGTGCTGGAAGTCGGCGCTGAATCGCAACGATTTGATAAGCATCATCAGGGAGAGCATGGAAAAGAATCGCTTGTGTTTTCAGCTAAATGGGTAAGAGTCAAGCAAGCACGTCTAAGAGGAAGGGAAAGAAAGGCAATTATAGAAATAGATCATAGTTGCACTATGGAAACAGACTTATGATTTAAAGTGCACTCAAAGGAAACCAGACGGATATAACAATTGAAGATCTCAGCCAAAACAATTCACATTCAGCTTTGGTTTTGGGTAAAGTGGAAAGTCTTGAGTCAAGTGCAAAAGGATGTCATTTTCAATATCTTAATCTTTTTAAATTGTTTTTTTTTTTTTTAAATCTTATTATGGTTCATACCCTTCCGTTATTATATTTGAAGTAGCTTGCCTAAAAGATATATATCTTCTTAATTTGAGTACTTTTACTTATTAACTGACGTCAATAGATAATATTAGGCAAAGGGAAATTCACATAAATGAGAATTAAAAGGAAGCTTTAATTTAATTAAATTTTTTAATAATATTTTCCTGTGAGATAAGGCAAATCTTGCTTGAATCAAGTTTTAAAGTTTTCAGTTTTTTTGGTTTTCAATAAATAATTCCTTTTTTATAAACCCTTTAAATTTGTAGCTAAGAGCTGCCCAGCTTAAATTAAGTTTATCGCGTATTAGCTCTCATTTTTATTACGTTTAATTTTTGTATATTATTTAAAGGCGACCTAAGATAACCCAGATCCAGCTTGCTAATTAAAACCTTGTTTCTTTTGTTGTGTTTTGCAGAAAACCCCAAGCAAATGTGAGTCCCATACGGCAACCGGCAGCACAACAACAACAACAACAACAGCAACAGCAACGCCAACGCTGCAATACCGGATCGAAAATTCCGACGCTAATTGCGAACCACAGTCCGCAGAGCGCCCAATCGCCGCTCAGCTGCAGTCCGCCCACGCAGCAATCGCCGCTGGCCAATCATATCGAGGCCGGGCACGATACGGTCAACAGCAGTCTCTATCATCCGCAGCCGCATATACCCATCTACCATCAGCAGCTGGCCATTAATCCGGCCGTGGTGGCCGCCCAGCACAGCCACAACAGCGCCCACAACAAGCTGAATCTGTGCGGCTACGATTCGTTTCTGCATGCCACGATTTGTGGCGGAGGCGCCGCTGCCCACTCGCCGCCAGCCACGCCCAGCAATGTGGCCACCGTACAGCCCATACCCAAGAAGAGCAGCAGCCACAGCAAACAGCAGCAGCAGCAGCAGCAGCAACAGCAACAGCAACAGCAACGCAGCAGCAAGGATTACAAGAACTATGGCAATCTCATCTATGCCAAGCTCAGTGAACAGTTGCAGCAGAGGGAGCGGGAGCAGCGACGTCAGCAGCGACACAAGCTGCAACAGCAGCCGCCACAACAGAAGCCCACGCGGGATTTGTGTCGTCCGGCTACAGCTACGTCCAGCTCCAGTTCGGCGGGCTCAAAGATCTATGGCGATGCCTTGGAGTGTGCACATCTGCTGGCCAGCGAGGAGGAGGAGCTGCCGGCCAGTCCAATGCTGACCAGCACGCCCAGCAAGGTCGTCTCCACGGACACACTGATCGATCTGAACGACGAGGTGGGCGAGGCTGTTGCCGAGGTTGCTGCCGTGACAACGGCCAAGGATGCCGACGAGCCATCGGCCCAGCTGGCCGCAGACGTGGATCTGGACACGAGCGCCTCCAGCTCCATGATACATCGCTATGTGCACGAGCACATACACCATCACTATCATCACTTCAAGGAGCAGAACGATATCTAAGGACTGCAGACCATAAATGTTGCTTATGTTTCTTATGATTAATGTAGCGCAATTTGTAATTTAATTAGCATTTTACTAAAACCCAAGATGATATTATTTCTGCTTCAACGTAGGATTCCGCTAAATAGAGTGGATCCCAGACTCAAACATAAAATCGAATCTGAACTTCATGTCCAAACTTTTAATCTATAATCCCCTAGAGCTAATGTTAAGATTTTTTGTGCGCCTTCGCCTTAGCAAGAATTGAAAATTGAAACATTTAAAAGCCATCGATTGCTTCGCTTATGCAAAAAACAGCCTAGCAACATATCATTGCAGTACTATGTGTATAAACAAAGCAAATTAACATAAACAAAATGAAGAAAAACCCAACTATTGTTTAGTGCAAATTATTCACTGAAAACTAAAAAGAAAAAAAAAAAACAAACATATTTGTTGTCTATTATATGAAAATTTTATGCGCCGCTTTTATGTGTATAGAGAGCCACATTTGTCTATAAATATTATTATTATTATTATTATAATTATAACTATTATTATTATTATTACTGTAATTCTTGTGGAATTATGGCCTCCATTTAGTTTAGCTATGGACGCGTTTATTTATGTACTCTTAAAATAATATTTAATTTGTAAAAGCAACAACAACCCAACAAGACACGCAACAATGCAACAAAAAAACCATAAATTATAGTTCAATTATCATTATTTTTTTATTATTATTATCATAAATATTATATTATTTTTTTTTAAACGTTTCATCAATCAATCAATCGACAAACAAGCACAACAACAACAAAAATGCATTTAACTCTTATTTAAATAAAAAAGACTGATTTCCAATTAAACAATACATTAATTATCTGCATATAAATAAATACACATATATATATATATATATAAATATATATATATATATATAAACACACATATAATAGAAAATTTATGAGAAATACTAAATAAATTATTGAATTGCTAAAATTATGAAAAAAAGAACGATTGCATATTATTTAAAAGGCTTGAATAAACTACAAGCTCTCACTAAAGTTGATCAGAATTAGATAAGTTAAAATATATATGTATTCCGAATAGATTTGATTAAAAACATATCTATTTCAATGCAAAGCTAGTTTCTTTGCTGAAGAAACTTTTAAATGGAGTACCATTACTTCAAACTTCTTTTGTTATATATTTTCGAAATTCTGCCCTTTGTACTGAAAATATTGCAAGCTCTAGATATTTTCATAAACAAAATGCGGGCTACAATCGATCTTTGCCCAAAAGTGCAATCTACCAAATATGGTTAGATAATTGCCATGGGCCAAAACAAACTTATTTATAGCTGGCAGCTAGAACTCTTTAATGGGTTTTGCTTATAAAACCCAGGAAAATATGGTTCAGTTAGACTTTCGGTTTAAGGAATAGATTGAGACCTTATGATTCGGTTCGGCTTGAAATCGAGTCGTAATTACAAACTAATTGAAATTATGAATTAATTCTTTTAAACTGGCTATCAAGAGAACTGAATGCGCCCAAGAATCAAATATAGTTTCATAACTTCGAACTTCCCAATCTATTTAAAAAGCCAACTGCACTTTGACCTGGCAAAGAACGGAGTTTTGATATTTCTTCCATAAATAATACACTTTCTTCACTTTTTATACGCATAATTGAAATGTTGCCTCGGCTGAATACTAATTAATATGTAAGCTAAAAAAAAAAACATTAGTGAGAGCGAAACGGAGCTGAGAAAAAAATAATGTAAATTGTGAGCAGAATTGTGTACTAAGACCAGACATTGTGTATTGTTTGGTTGGCGTGTGCGCCTCGGCCAGAGTCTAATAATAAATCGTCGTGCGCCAAGTGACAAGAGATGAAGATTGAGATCCAACAGAGCCACAGCCACAATCAGAACAAGAACCAAAACCAGAGACAGTCGAAATTTGTTTGCTGCTCAGTGAATTTTCAAACGTTGCGCATTACGCAAACAGGCGCAGCAAATTCTTGACTGATTCTCGTGTAGTTCGAGTCCGAGGATGAGTCCACCCACAGCCTGTGCCTTCTGTCAATCGCATGCCACACAGCTGTGCGCCGGCTGCCGCAGCGTCGTCTACTGCAGCCGGGAGCATCAGAAGGAGCACTGGAAGCGTGGCCATAAACGGGAGTGCAAGTGCTTTGAGCTGAGCTCCAATGAGACGCTGGGCAGGCATTTGCGCGCCACGCGGGACATTAAAATGGGTGAGCAGATCATGCGGGAGGCGCCGCTCGTGGTGGGCCCCAAGGTGGCCTCGGTGCCGCTCTGCCTGGGCTGCCACAAGAACCTGCTGCCGCCGGCTAAGCCGGCCCAGAATTATTACAAATGCAGCGCCTGCACCTGGCCGCTGTGCAGCGCCGAGTGCGAGCAATCTCCCTACCATCTGGCCGAGTGTCGGCTCATGGCTGGGAGTAACTTTGAGTGCAAGATCAACTACAAGGCGGCGGAGCAGGAGCACAAGGAGTCTGCCTATTGTGTGATCATGCTGTTGCGCTGCGTGCAACTGAAGCTGGAGAGCCCGGCGGCATTTGCCCGGCTCTACGAGCTGGAGGATCATCTGAAGGAACGCCTGGAGACGCCGCTCTACCAAGTGCTGCGCGCCAATCTGATTACATTCATCAAGACGGTGCTGGGCCTGAACAACTGCTCCGAGCTGGAAATCCTGCGCATTGCCGCCATCCTCGACACCAACGCCTTCGAGCTGAGGCAGCTCGGCGGCTGCGTAAAGGTGCGCGGCCTGTATCCGGGCGCAGCCATGTTCGCCCACGACTGTGTGCCCAATATGCGGCATCGCTTCGACGACGACATGAACATTGTGTTCCTGGCCAAGCGGCCAATTGCCAAGGGCGAAGTCCTCAGCATATCCTACACCCAGCCACTGAGGAGCACCATCCAGCGACGGGTGCATCTGAAGCAGGTCAAGTGCTTCGATTGCGCTTGCGCCAGGTGCGAGGATCCCACCGAACTGGGCACCTTTGCGGGCGCCCACGTGTGCGGCAAGTGCAAAGTGGGCAAGGTGGGCTATTATATTAAACTCTAATTATATTTTATGAATCCATATTTTTCGTTCAGATCATCTCAATGGATCCTTTACAACTGGCTGCCAACTGGAAGTGCGAGGTGTGCAATTTGAAGAGGAGCGCCAAGGAGTTCCTGACGCAGGATGCGAAAATAGAGCAGGAGCTGGAGTCGCTGGATAAGACAACGCCGCTCAGCCTCGAGGATTTCCTCTATCGCCATCGCGTTGAGCTGCACGAGACGAATACGCACATTCTCCAGGCGAAGTACGCCTTGACCCAGCTTTATGGCCATGCGACGGGCTTCGCTATGGATGGTGAGACATAATTAAATGTTGTAAAATCTACTATAATGTGAATCCCTTAGAGCTAAGTGAGAAATCTCTAAAGCGCAAAGTGGAACTCTGCGAGGAGCTGTTGGAGATTTCGAATCTCTTCGATGGCGGCTGGAGCATCTTTCGTGGCAATTTGCTGATCGAGTTGCAGGAGACAGTTTTGGCACAGGCCCTGAGCCTGGAGAATGCCAGCGAGTGCGAAGCAAAGCTTAAACAAGCTGCCGAGCTCCTGCAGGAGATATCAAACATAATGAACAATGAACCGGAGATGCAGCAATTGCTGGCGGAGCGAAGACAAATGTTGGATGCGGCAATGGCACGCTATGCAGTTGGTGCTGAATAACTAGAAAATCGACACAACAAACTTGTTTTATTAAAATCCATTATTAACATATTTTTTAACTGATAAGGCATATAGTTTCATAACCGCGATTCTTCTTTTGAATCTTTGAAATGGTTGGCAGCGCGACTATCTTTGAAATGGTTGGCAACGCGACTATTGTGAACTAGCTGCATCGCTGAGTGCGGCTATTGACCGACCGCCACATATTATCGAAATACGCCCAGTCGGGTGGTTAATCGTCTGGCCGCCACATAAAATCGATATACAATGAGTCTTTATTTTGCATTCATCACTTAAAAGAATTTCACGTGTTGCACGTGCTTATACAATTTTTTATTAATATTGTGTGTTTTAAGCAATTAAAATGAGTGCAGCTATAGCAGAAAATCAACCCGAGCTCACGGAGAGTATTGCGGAATGTACGGAAAAGTCAGATCAGCCAGAATCGGCAAGTGCAAAAAGTGCAGAGGTGGAAAAAGCCGGCAATGAGTTTGCTTATTTGGAACGCAATGAATTTACATCGGAAATCTATAAAATTGAAGTGAAGAATATGGGTTATTTTGGCATTGGGGTAAGTTATTGCTGAATAACAAGAGGTTAGCTTATTAACTTGCCGCTGCAGGAATTTAAGAAGCTGCTCAAAAATACACTGAAGTTGGACATGACCAAAATCAAGTCACCCACACGCAAGGAGTTTGCCTTTGTGTGCTTTCGCAGCCAAGCAGACCAGCAGCGCGCCCTAGAAACGCTCAATGGCTACAAGTGGAAGGGAAAGATCCTTAAAGCAATGGCAGCCAAAGCATCCGCTGATCCACTGCACAAACGACGCGGCGAAGAGGATGCCGGGGAAATCAAACCAAAGCGCCAGCGCACTGCCGTGGAGGCCACGTGCCCGCTAGCTGAAATGCCCTACGAAAAGCAGCTTGAACAAAAGACGGAGGAGATGGCAACGTTGCTCAGAAAATACACCCAGGAGCTCCGTCGTCTGAATGCTGACGCGAAACCGCATCTGGATAAGTTTCAATTTAAAGGTGTTCTGCCGTCGCCCACTGTCGATGGCTATCGGAATAAAAACGAGTTCACTGTGGGCAAAAACTCGGATGGAGAGATTGTAGTTGGTTTCCGTTTGGGCAGCTACAGCGACGGTTCCGTGGAAGTAGCCGAGGTGCAGCAATTGCCACATTTGCCAGCGCAGGCGAAATGGGCGGCGCAAAGCTTCCAGCAGCTGGTCAGGCAGTCAAAGTTTCAGCCCTTCAATCCTGTCGGTAACGTGGGCCACTTTCGACAGCTGATGGTGCGCAGCTCCACCGCAACAGGCGAACTAATGTTGGTAGCTGGCATATACTCATCCAATTTGAGCGAAACTGAGCAGCAAGAGCTGCAGACTGAGCTTAGGACTTTTTACGAGCAGCCGGAGCAGAATAATACACACAAATGCACTTCGCTATACTATCAGGATGTCAAGCATCGTGAGGCGGGCCAAATGGTCAATCCTGTCACACATCTCTCCGGCAGCACACACATTACGGACACCATACAGGGGCTTCAGTTCCGCGTCAGCCCCTTGGCCTTCTTTCAAATAAATACAGCCGGAGCAAATGTTCTTTACCAGCAGGCTATAGATTTGGCTGCGCCCAGCCGGGACACAACAATGCTGGACATTTGCTGCGGCACTGGGACCATTGCCTTGGCCTTTGCCAAGCACTGCAAACAGGTGCTGGGCGTAGAAATTGTACCAGATGCCATCAAAGATGCGGAATACAATGCACAAGAGAATGACATTAAGAATTGCAAATTCTTTGCTGGCAATGCTGATGACTTTATAAAAAGCATGGTGCGGGAGGCTTTGTACGGACAGGAGCCAGGCAAGCCAGTGGATTTGATAGCTGTAGTGGATCCGCCGCGTGCTGGACTGCGTAAGTTTAAAGTAAAAGAAAATTTGCTAAGAATTAATATTTTTTTCGTTCTATTACAGACAATCGTTCCATAGCCGCCATACGCTCAGCGAGTGCCATCAACCGTCTGGTCTATGTTTCCTGCAATCCCAACAGTGCCAAGCGTAATTTCATAGAGCTGGCTAGACCGGAGTCCAAGCAGTACAAAGGGGAGCCCTTTTATCCCAAGACAGCCGTAGCTGTCGACATGTTTCCACACACAACGCACACGGAGCTGGTCATTTTGTTTGAGCGTGAAACCAAGTCAACAGCAGCTGAGTCTGTGAAAGGAGACGCCACAGCGGAGGCAACAAAAGAAACCAATGAATCTGTGGTGACATCAGCAACGTGATGCTGACGGTACAGTTGCTCAATTAATATATGACCACAATACATTATCACTGATAATCACTTTATTGCAGGCCTCTCTCGCCTAGCGCTCCTCTCTCTCTCGCTGCTGCTTATCACGAGGTTGACATCCATCATCGGCTCTTTGTGCGACTGCGGCTACGAGTTTTATTGTTTTAAATTGATTTAATTGTATTTACGTTGTTCCGGCGTCTGGTACGACAAAGTGACTTCCTGTTTAATAGTTTAAGAACTGTGCTGAACACTTTTCTCAGTGCACGTCAGTTCTTGGCGGGAGCTTGATAAGAAGTGATTGCAAAAAAGTGCTAAGCGCGTGCCTCCACAAGCTGCAACTCCTAAATTCGACAAAGACTTTAAAGTGCTAAAAACAACAACCAACTTCCAAGGCCAACATTAATTAGAGGCTCAACGATTTCTAGTGGTCCCCACGCAAGAATGTCTGAACAGGTATGCTATTTTATATTAATAATAAAATAGATTTGTTTTCTTATTTATATACTATATGTGCATATATGTTCTCATTTTATTTGTTCTCGTTAATTTAATCATCAATGGAGGTTAAGCAAAATGAGAAACGAATCAGAATCCGCACCTTTGTTATTTAAATATGTATTGCCATGCGCAAATGCAGGTAAAATAAGTACATGCATATAGATTTAATCAGCATTAGATGTAGAGGCAGTAATGTCTTGACTATTTCCATGAGCACGTCTATCTCGATGATGGCTTCAAGCCAATCTGGTACATGACATAGTTACATTCTGCGTTTCTGCAATGTCCATGTTGCTGTGCGTCCATCTGTCCGTCAGTCCAACCGTCAGTCCGTCCATCCGTCCATGCGTCAGTCCTTCCATCCGTCAGTCCGTCCATCCGTCAGTCCGTTCGCTCTACCTTTCGTCCGTCTGAGTAAATTTAGTTAGTCAGAAAAGATGTTAAGATTATCTTTTACAGTTTTAAGTGCTTGCTGAAGGAATTTAGAATTGACGAACTGCTTTAATTTACATCTATTAACAAATTAAGCTGGGTAGTATATTTTGGGTTGTTCTTGGATGGTGAACGGGTATTACGCAGTCGGTTGCACCCAACAGCAACACATTCTTGATAGATATTTATTCCATTCACGTATGCGTTCAGCAGCTGTTTATTGTTTTGCTTTGTAACAAGCCGTTATCTAAAAGCTTTCGAAAGTGTAAACAAATAAATATTTTATTAATGCAAAAAAATTAACAAAACAACTTCTGAACGTGCCTTACAACATGTTGATGCAAACAAATGTCCTCATACGTAGTTTTGAAATAAACTGGCGCACGTAGTAAATATGGCGTATGTGGGGTATTTATGTATGTATGTTTATGTGTGCTCACATACATACCTACATGCACAGTTGAGAGAGCTGAATAAGCGCTGCAAAGTGAACTTTGGACTTTAATGGGGTGTTTGTCTACACAATGATTTAAAAACAAAGCAAATAATGCAAAGGCAGCAGTAAAATGAAATGAAAACAGAAAAAGTTTAACACAAATACAATAAATCAAATCAAAAACGATCGAAAGCTGCTTCGATGCGAGTCACACGCAAAGAAATGGGAACAAAACAAGGAAAACAGAACAAAAACAACATCAAACATACGCATGTACATGCAAAAGTTATCTACATACACATGTACATATGTCTATATTTATGTTTTGGGGCGTGCCTGGCAACATACGCATATATTCGCTTATAAACTTATGATTACGATCGTTGGCCACATAGAGAGCAGACCTTGGCCGCAGAGCTTTGAATTCAAAGCAATTTGCGCACGGAAAAGCTCTCGTGTCGAATAAAGCGCTTGTTCGCGGTTGGTTGCCTTATCAACAACGACGTAAACAAACAACAAGGAAAACAATGACCACACAACCGACGTGAACCGGTTTGCGAGAGCCACACAAGGAGAGCAAAAGCTTTTGAATGCTCAAAATCTCATTTGGGGAGGAGGGCTCGACCACGCCAGAAACGTCGACGACGCCACACACACAAGCAAAACTTTACACGTGCTCTGCAGCAGCGACGCCGACGTCTGCACACGACCAACACGTTTCTGTTTGGAGCAATGCATGCTTGGAGATTGGGCTGCTGACTGCTCTCTGCCTCTCTATCTCTCGCTCCCACATTTCGTTGTTCTGTTCGAAGCGAGCTTTTTAACATTTTTGTAGTGCAAATTAAGTTTACAAATATTTGTACGTTTCACGTATACTCTATAAGCAATTGAGGCTGCACCCTGATAATCTGTGGCTAGCATGACGCGTTAAATCTCGGTAGCTAATTGCCATTATATTAAATAACATATTCCGGCGCAGATATTGCTTATCACTTTTTGTCAAGCTTTGAGGACTTTAAACTCAGCTACTCAAAAATTAATTAAAATTAATTTGTGTTTTTTATTTTTTATTTAATGATTGATGTGAACCAATTAAGGCGCACCATATGTCCCCTTGTTATTTAAACAATACTTTTTTTTTTATGGAAATCGCGTGTGCTTTCTTTTCCTTAATATCTCTCTTTGTTTGTATATTACACTTATCTTCCAATTTTGAAGAGCATTGTAAAGTCAGCTAGGGCAGACGCGTATACACGTTTTATGAAGTGTTTTTGTTTTTGCCGACTGCTGAGGCCAACAACATTTTTAAAAAGCCATAGCAGCAACTGTACCCCCGAGTCGAAATTCAAAACAAACCCAACGCCAACGTTTATGTCGTCGCCGTCGACACATACACAATGAAAACTGGCAGCAAAAGCTCTGCGCCGCACGAGCTGTTTACGATAAAAAGAATTCGTTTAAATTGCGCGCACAACAAAAGCGCTTGGAACAGTTGCGACTGCAACGTCGGTGCGACGACGACGTAACGTCTAGAGCGTCCTAGCTTCAAACAAAACACAAAAGGATACCAAAAAATATAAAAAACTACAATCAACAAAAAAACAATTAAAAGAATTTTTCAAATACCCCAGTACAAAATGCTAGCCTAGCTAAACAAAAAAAATTGCGCATACGCCGCGTAGTGCAAAAAATACAATACAAAGCAAATCCAACTGTGATATACAACTTTTAAGTTCTTCGTCAAATTATTCGTTGGGACCCCAACTAACTGTGCTATTACCCCCAGCCAGCACATAAAACATGTCCGTTCCAATGTTATTAACGCCGTTGGAACCCCAGACGCCAGATGAGCACATGCAAAATGTAATTATAAGTAATTTATTTATTTTAAGCCTAAGCCAGAGAGCGCAACGGGATCACATTGACGTCAAGTGTGCATTTTGCAATTGCCTTTGTTTTGACATTTTGGTTAAACTGAAGGTCAAAAATTGTTGTCAAATGCCTTTGCTTTTTGTCGGTGCGAAATACTCTTCTGTTTTGGTAAAATCAATAAGCGCTAAACTGTAATATAAGTCGCTTAACATTGCGAAGAAATAGTAATTGATAGTGCTTAAAATATGAGCTAAGAATTTAGTTTATAGCTACATAGAATCGTCGAACTTGTTTTATAACCCACTTGAAACTATAGTAGGCTTCACTCGCTGCTAAATATATTTGATATCTTCTACATATATTGCGCACATAAACAGGAAATTGATATATGCAATTGGCAGCTGACTCATCTACAAATTTAACCCCTACGATGTCCGCCCCTCATTTTCATAAGCGCCTCCTCGTCGAGTTGCGTGTAAAAGCTTTGCAAATAGTGCCGCATGTTGCAAAGCAGGCTGTCACGTGTCCATGCCCCAGCTGCTGTTGCTATCGGGTTTCAGAGTATTCGGCGAAACTTGGCTACAGAAGTGGCTCTCAATGTACATCGATAAGATTGCGATTTATTAGATTTACAAGCCTAATCTAAACACTTAATTTACCAGGCACTCTTAAATGTGCCTTGATTCTTATCAATGCAAAGAAAAAAAAAAATGATGCTTAAAGTACTATTAACCCTTGAAAACAGAAACTGCTAAGCAGATTCTAAGGAACTAGCCATATTTCATGCATGTAAATAGCCCAAAACGAACATACGAAAAAGAGAAAGCTTTTGACATGAAATTTCCCATAACAAAAAACATATGAGTGCCAAAGCTCAACAGCGCGAGAGTGAGAGGAAGCGGGAGAGCACATGGTATACAATTCTGTTGCCAACACGTGCCACAGCAATAAAGACGAAAAATAATGTAATTAGCTTGTAAATTACAAACAGTCAAAAAAAAAAAAACCTATTTAAATCGAATAGTATTTCATATTTACCCCCCTCTCTCTCTCTCTCTCTTGTTTGCATTCTGTTCTCGTCGCTGTGGCAGATAAGGCGTTGCCAAATGTTATTTGGTATATTTAAACGTTGGCAAGGTTGCGCTAATTGTGCCAAGACCGTAACGGGACTGAGGTGAGGAAAAATCACAAAGAACATGCGGAAAACTATGCATAACTATAGGCCATATACTATGGCACGATGTACATATACTTGGCATAGTAAATGCCAAACCTCACAATTTTCATCTCGAAATCTCCTGCCAGAAATTCGTTTAGCTGTTGTTGCTCTTTGTTTCTTACGTAGATTTGCGTATTTCGCCAAAGCATTCGCTGCTGTCGGCCCGTTTCGAGCTCTTTCATTGCGTGGGCGCTCAGTTCTGGTGAAACTGTAATAAATAAAACGAAAAAAAAAAAAAAGTTGATCAAAACAAATCGCGACCTTAACACGTGATCCAAATCAGTGCGAGCAAAAACAGCCTTTAAATTATTGTCACATTTCTGAGTTAAGCCACTTTAAAGTTGCATAAATTTTGAATTTTTACCGTATTGGTTGCTGGGCGACAGCGGCCAGGTTGCTTAACAACAGCGCCGGTGACGTCATGAAGCGCTGCTTGCAGCTACAGCCACAACTACGCCACTTGCGTGCGCAGCGCGCGCGTTTTCATACGCAGGTAAATCGCGCGTTTAAAAACGCACGCAATTGCAGCTGTTGATAAATTATTTTTGTTTATATGGAAAATGTCATTTCAAGCGAAGTTTGACATTAAATTCTTACATTTTAAAATTTGAAGTTTAATATCAGCATTTTTTTCAATTTATTCCATTATATTCTCTGACATCTTATAATATTTTTAAAATATAGATAAGGCATGTTCAAAATGGGTTAATGCTCGATGTACGCACACGTGCTAAATAGAAATGTTTACGCTTATACTAAATCAGACTAAGTAAAATGAATAGAATATTTAGAATCCACATATATGCGTGTATGTTTCTATGGATCGGGGTTCATTTGATTAACCAGCTGAACTTGTGGCCGATTAGGAGCTGTATAAACATGCGCCTATTCTCTATCTCGCTGATCTCTTAGGGGGCAACACGTGATTTTGTTTGCACTTGCGCCAAAGTCACGAGCTGTTTAAACAGCGGGCGCGACTTAAATGCGTCTGATAACCTGCGATCTATTTTCATAGAGTCTAACTGATTTCGCTGCTAGCAGAGCTTCCTTATCAGAGGGAGAGCGAGAGTCTTCACATCATATTTGAGCCGCTGCCCGCCGCTTTTCGCAGTCAGTTTCAGTGTGGATTTCATAGTTGTCGCCATGCTGGGTTCCCTATTAATCCTTGGCATTGTCGTCCCATCTGTCTTGCAGTGTGCTTCGTATGCGGATGCTGCGGCTGCTATCGCTGCCTCAAACTATGCTACTGGCAACGAGCTCATCGAGGCGGCCCCCTCCACCAGCTGCAAGCCCACGCTGAGGCAGTTCAATGTACGGCTGCAGGCGCCTTTGGCGCCAGAGGAGCAACTGGCTCTAACAGGCGACGCCAAGGCGCTAGGCGAGTGGCAGCTGTCGCGCTGCGTGCCCCTGGATCGATTGGATGACCTCACCTGGCAGACCAACGTGCGGCTTCAGTCGTGCCGCCAGCTGGAGTATCGATACTTCGTGTACGTGGAGAATGCGGCGGGCTACAAGCAAATACGTCGCTGGGAGACGCACTTTAAGCCGCGCGTGCTGCACGCCAGCATGGAGGAGCAGTGCCACAGTCCGCTGGATGTGTTTGGATTGGCCAATGGGGATGAGTCGACGCCTCAGGTGCATCGCGGCTGGCTGAACCATGAGGCAATTGTGCAGCTTAAATTTAATGGCGAGAAGATGTTCCAAGTCCATGACATCGAGACCTTTGATCCGCAGCACGTTCAGCTCAAAATTGTGCCCGTCGAGGAGTCTCCTGGACTCGTTGTGGAATACACCAAACATCTTTATGGCCAGAGTCATCTGCAGCTGCAGCCGGCGCATGGCGTATCCTATACCAAAGGCGACATTGTCATCTTTCATATCACCCTGCCACTGGATCGCATGATGCATCAGAGTTTCCGCCTGGAGTGCTATGGCCTGCAACACGAGCTCCTTGGCACCGCCAGCCTGAGTGCTGCCCAGTTAACGGGTAGCGAGGGACTGCTACAGCTACACATCAAGTCCGCCCAACGGGCTGACGAGACGCTGGCCCGCTTGAGACTGCCCTACGTGCTGGTCCAGCCCTATCAGTACTCGCCGCTGGACTTCAAGAACACCTATGCGCACTACTGGCCACGCAGCTGGCCCAATCTGGATGTTGGGCATCGCGGCAACGGCAAGAGCTACATTGCCGAGGCACCGCTGGAGCGCGAGAACACGATTGCCTCGTTCCTAAGCGCACATGCACATCATGCGGATATGGTTGAATTGGATGTGCACTTGACGGCCGATGGGATACCCGTGATCTATCACGATTTTGGGCTGCGCACCGCGCCGCCGGGCAAGGTGATCGAGAAGCCCGATCAGCTGGAGTATGTGCTGATCAAGGACATCAATTATGAGCTGCTCAAGCGGCTGCGCATCTTCTCGGTGATCAATGGCAAAGTACAGGAATATCCCGCACACAATGCCGAGCCACGTGTCGAGCATCGCATCTTTCCCAGACTGGTGGAGGTGCTGCAACAGCTGCCCAAATCGCTGGGCATCGATGTGGAGATCAAGTGGCCACAGCGGCGACAGGGCGGCGGCTCCGAGGCGGAGCAGACCATTGATAAGAATTTCTTTGCCGATCGTGTGTTGCACGAGGTCATTCAATACGGTTGCGGACGTCCCCTGATCTTCTCCAGCTTCGATGCGGACATGTGCACAATGCTGCGATTCAAGCAGAACCTCTTCCCGGTCATGTTCCTCACCCAGGGCGAGACCAAGAAATGGCAACCCTTCAGTGATCTGCGCACGCGCAACTTCATGGCCGCCGTAAACAACGCGCAGGCCTTCGAGCTGGCGGGCACTGCGCCCCATGCGGAGGATTTTCTGGGCGAGAATGCGGTCCACATGCTGCAGCAGGCGCGTGACCTAGGACAGATTGCCGTCATCTGGGGCGACGACTGCAATTCAAAGGAGCGCGTCAAGTATTTCACAGAGATTGGAGCAACGGCCACCTGCTACGATCGCAGCGATCTCTATATGCCGGAGAAGAAGCAGAGATCGTTCTTCAATTCCAGCTCGCTGCTCGCCGAGTTCGAGGCTCAATGCAGGATGTAAGGGGAGGGAGGGCCGAGGGAGGGAATGGGTCCGTCAGGCGGGTAATCATAGTCTAAGCACTGGGCTGAGCTCACATCCAAAAAAGAGATTCAAGCTTAAAATATGTAAATAATTTATACTCTTGCCCAAAATGTAAATAACTAAAAAACAAAACGTAGCAATTAACAAATTGATATTTTCTAATAATCTATGCCAATGTGAACTCAGCTTAAGTCCAATTGAAGCTATATTTGTATTTTGATTTAAGCTCACAAATTGTTTTTTTATATTTATTAATACTATTATATATTCAAATTTGAAGCGTAGCAGAAAATTGTACAGAAAAGGCGTGCTCAGGGATGGGAACAATGATAGATGTATAGTAAAAATTCTATAAAATGTAAATCAAAATTAATTTTCAACTAAAGCTAGTAGGTCAAGTGATATCCAGTTACCGATCTTTTATCGCTAATACTCTATTTATTTTTGCACTTTGTTCTGCAAATATATAATGTTGAAACAAAAATAAAACTAAAAGACAATGACAAGAAAGCAGAGAAAAATGCTTTAAAAAATAACTTAAAAGAAAAAAACAAAAACAAAAAAAATACCTCTTACAATATGTTTATGTGCAAAAGCGTTTGCAGAATTGTATATTATTAAAAGTACAATAATTTTTCAAGCGTGTTTTATATAAATTCACAGCTATTTACAATATTTTATGAAGAGATAAAGATTTAAGTATAAGCACAAGCAACAACAAATAAATAAATTAATGTATTTTCAAATACGGAATGTTAAAAGATTAAAAAAAACATGGTATAATATGCAAACAGCTCTAAAACGAACTCGAAAGAACTGTTGGCACGTCGAAGATTTAATACCCTACTAGGAGAAGGAAAGCTTTATTTTCAATAAATATTGGATCCAAACAATGAATAATGAGCTTGCTCTGAAGAATAAACAAGTTTTCCATATTTGGTACTTTCATGTATTTGATATGTAAAGTTCGCCATAAAAATCGTAAATGCCAAAATTGGCCAAGAAAACCTGAAAGAAATTTGATTTTCCTACAAGAATGTAGATATCGCCGGATCATTCCTATGACCTATATATTATATGGAGATATGGGAACCTTGCAGTAAAGATATAAGTTGTTGGAGAAGTTCGCTTTGTGGCGTTACAGATTTGATAACGAATAAATAATACCCTCTATCAGAGTATATAAATACCACCAAAGAATATTTAGAGCAACAAGAATATCTATCAAAACAATTCAATTGAAGTACAATAAAAAATTACCATAAAAATACAAATCATTTTTACTCAAAGCATATGGAGCAAGAGATACAAAAGGAGAGAGAACGAGAGAGAGAGAGAGAAGAGAGAATCCACATACCACACAGTCATTTACAACATTCGATATGCCATTATTTAATAGTCTCTGACGAATTCGTAGATCCATAACAAACTCGAGAAGAAACATCAGAAATAAAATGAAACAATTCAGCTACGACTTAATATTCTATGGTCAATTATGGAGCGGCTCATTTGCATGAAGATGGAGGCAATGTTGACAGCTTATCGCAGCCTGAGGCCCAGTTGGTATCTATTTTTGTGGTTGATGTGTGCCTCAGCTCTGGTCTTGGGCCACGCTTGGAGATGCTCGTACAAAGAGTTTCCAGTGGACGACGAACGGGTGAATGGGTCTCGATCTTCAGCCAGATAAGCAAATTAACGTTCATGTTACAAATTTCGTGTATCTGTGTATATATATATATATAACATGTAGATAAAGAGCACTTGGTGGATCTTCGCCTCGTATCCTCAGTCAACCAACAGATGCTTGTTTGAAGAGCGTAAGTCTCCGAGCTGCCAAGAATTATTCGCTTTACTAATCGGCTGATTTTGTTGCAGTGGATCTCTACTGGAGCCGCATCACCTGGACGGACTACGACAACTTTGCCGTGGAGTTGCATTGCTCGTTGCCCTGGTTTCGACCGCAAAAGGTGATTTATACGCGTGCCAAGGAGCCCAGCGCACAGGTGCTCGATCAGGTGGAAAACTATCTGAACAGCGTGGATTTATCTTGGCGAGATTTCCATTTGGTGAATAAGTCGAGTTGCCTGAATCATACTGGCGAGCCCATTCAGCGCTGGCATCTCTCCAAGTATATGCATTTGGACTATAATCCGCATTATGTGAAGCCCCTGGTAATAGACAAGAACATCTGAGCAGCTCTCTCGAACTTTCTTTAACATCTGGCCATTTGCATAAATGCCAATTTTACGGGGCCAACCCGATTAGTTTGTGGCGACTTATTAATCAAGCCCAGAGAGCCCACAACTAACGTCCATGTACACTGAGCAAAAAATAAAGGAACTTACAAAAAGAGAAATGTTTACACGAGTGCTTGGAAAGTGGTAAGTGCTAAATTTTTTTTATGTTATACGATATTTATAATAGAAATATTAACAAAAAAATGAAATTAGAAACAGGTTGCAGTTGGGTTCAATATACTGCGAAATACCTGTTCACAGTCAAAACTGGCTACCCGTGAATTAATTATGCGATTTTCGGTTTTATTTCCGATTTCTTTTTACTTTATTCGATTTTAAGAGGTGATCTTCCACATTCTTATTATAATCTTAACACTTTCATGGACCCGGGTATATCTACATTCTAAAGTGTAATATTAAGTCAAACTTGGCATAAAAAAGGGGAGACGGACAGCTCGAATATATTAGTTTCTTTTTTATCTACTATCTACTCGTATCTACTGTGCTGTAAAGTTATCTAAAAGCCTGCTGAGCTTGGCTGCGATCAACATTGATTTGTTGTGGGCCATCATTTCTCTCAGTGCAATTACAGCTGATTTACAGCCACAAAACTATGCTGAACATTTGGAAGTTCTTTCATTTGATCGTCTGTAAGCGCCGGGTTAAGAACTCATCCAAAAAGAAGAAGAGAGTCTCCGAGTGGGTTCGTCATAGCCAACGCGTCGCGCTGTCCGCGTTTCGTGGTTGAAGAAAACAAGTTTCTTTATTCGAGGCGAGATGACGCTGCCGCTTAATTTGGAGGAGAAGAAAAATGTATCGAGTGCTAAAATCAATTAGCATACTCTATAAGATCGCTTTGTTGTGGCCATTGTTTTGCACAGCGGCAGCCACAGTCAGCCCCACGCTGAATGGAACGTCTGTCTTAGGTCGCGCGCAGCTGCAGGCGCAGGCCTTCAAGCCATTTCATGCTGAGCGGCACGCACAACTAACCGGACGTAGTTTTCTCTGCTTGCCCTTTTTTCGTGTATTCAATCTGGAGCTGCGGCCGGGCCAGCAGTTGGCAGCGGATGAAGAGATCGCCGTTAGCGGGGATCATCGTGCGCTGGGCGCCTGGAGCATTGCCAAGGCGCTGCCATTGCGTGCCCAGAACAAGCAGCGCAGCAGATGGTATTTGCGACGTTGGATATGCGCCAGTCATCGTGTCTATTATCGCTATCTCGTCTACACGCTGGACGCGGCCGGCGAGCGTGTGCTGCGTCGCTGGGAGGGGCAGCAGGTGCCGCGCATGCTGCAGACCTTTGAGATTTATCGCTCCCCGGGCGTGGACATTTTCGGCGAGGCCTATCCGCGCTCGGTGGGCGGCGGGCACTTGCTGGAGCCTGGCTGGCTGCAGCGCGAATATGTCATTGAGCTGAAGTTCGTTTGGGAGCAGCACCTACAAATCGCCGGGCTGAACAACCAGGAGAAACTGCGCCTGAAGCTCCGATCGCTCAGTGTGCTGGATAACGCGCTAATTGAGGTCTCGCGCTATGCCTATAATCGTTCCTCCTTCCGGCCGCAGAGCCGGCTGGGCGTCCGTTATGCCGCCGGCGCCATAATCATCTATCGCATCAGCCAAGCGCTGGATGTGTCCAATGCCTTACGGCTAGACATATACGGCCTGGATGGCGGCCAGCTGCCCTTGGGCGAGGCCTATATAATGCCCGAGCAGCTGCGCGGCAGTCGCGGCATTCTGCAGCTGCCCATACAGGGTCAGCTCACACAGCAGGTCATCGGTCAGCTGACGCTGCCCTACTTGGTGGTGCGGCCCATGCCGAATGCAGCTGCCAGCAATTTGCGTGTTAGCTTTCAACGGTACTGGCCCAGCAATTGGCCCACCCTGGACGTGGGCAATCGTGGCCTGGGTACCAGCTTTTACCAAACAAGCAATCAGCTGGTGGAGAACACCATCGAGAGCTACCTGGCCGTGCCCAGGGCCAAAGGTGACATGGTGCACCTGGACGTGCAATTGACCAGAGATTATGTGCCTGTCGTTTGGCGTGGCTTTGGCTTCTTTACCACCAAGCAGGCGACCACACAACCCATAGTGGATCGCTTCGATTTGCGCCATGTGCTCATCCGGCAGCTGAGCTACGCCGAGCTGAAGTCCAGCCGTGTCTTCATACTGAAGAGGTGGTCCCTGCAGGAGTACACACACTTGAATGTGCGCAATGTTAGCCAGCCCCAGCGGCTATTTCCCAAATTGGATGAAGTATACGAGGCGCTGCCCAAGTCTCTGGGCCTGATCGTGGAGATCAAGTGGCCGCAGCTCATGGCATCGGGCGTGATGGAGTCGACGCAGTCGCTCAACAAGAACGTGTTTGTAGACAGGATTATAGAGGTCACAGCGCGTTATGGCTGCGGACGCCCGCTAATCTTTGCCAGCTTCGATGCGGATATATGCACCATGATACGGCTGAAGCAGACGGCCTTTCCGGTCATGCTCATGACCACGGGCCGCACGGACATTTGGGATGCCTATATGGACCTGAGAACCCAGACTTTTCTGCAAGCCGTCAACTTTGCCGAAAGCGCCGAGCTGCTCGGCACGGCGACGCATGTCCAAAACTTTCAGCACAAGCAGCAGCTGGTGGACTTGGGTCTGGATCTGCAGCAGGTCGTCTTCATCTGGGGCAGCGATCTGCAGGATGTACAGGAACTGGAACAGTTTCGTGCCAGCGACGTGACTGGCCTCATCTACGATCGCATCGACCGTGTGGGTCCCGCCCAATGGAAGCGTGCGCCCTTCTTCCAGGCCCCGCAGCTGCTTGAGGTGTTCGGCGGACAATGCGTGGCCATTGGCAACTCGACGACGGTGCCGGGCGCGAAGCCAACGAAGCCCACGATCTGGCCCAAAATGCGAAAATAAGTAAGTTTCTTTCCATGATTCACATATGGCTAACATATGGGAGAATACTTATTATAGTACGGGGACTGTTTATTGGAAAACTTGGAAAACAACTATCTCCGACACTCCGAAGTCTATATACCCTTCAGATATCTTGCTCAAAAAACTATTTTTGTATACAAGCTATATTTCCGCACGATTGCTTTGTTAGGAGTGCTGTAATATACCTGGCCGATTTGATATGGTATGCATATGATATGTCGAGAGCAATTCAAAATATTAAAGGACAAACGCGTGTTAAATACATGAACTTTTGGATCTATTATATATATATGGCAGCTATATAAGAGGAAGAGCTGCCTTTGCGTAGCCTAACTCTTGACCATATCATTGATAAAAAACACAAAATAAAAATTAATAAAATACGCTCGCATTAGAAGCATGAACGAGGATAAGGATAAATTCTGCGATTTGTAAGTGGTGAAACAAAATATGTTTGAGGAGCGTTTTGTAGCTGTAAATTGATCTCAATATGGTATAAAATGGTTGAGTAAAACTTAAGTAAATGTTATTAAATATACTTTATTTATACAAATATTAATGAGTGTTATTTGCAAAACGCGCACCAGGTAGTCGTACTCCTCCATTAAACCCACTAAAAATAGACACTAAACAAGCATTCAGAGGGATCCAACAAGGAGATAGAGAGGGACAGAGTGAAGCAAGGGAGAGCGGAGCGTTGGGACTTTTTCTATCCGGATTAAAAATTGGAGCAGTGGGACGCACTGTAGACCTCCATGAATTCACCCGAAATACAGGCACTGCCCACGCCCATGCTCATGGGCTGGCAAATGCCCGGCACTTTGCTGGTTATCTCAATGGTGCACGCCCCGTGTCCATGTCCATGTGGATGCTTGTGCTGCTGCCCGGCAGGTGGCAGCTTGATAAAGGATGCTTTATTGTTGATACGGGGCTTCTGGACCGGCTCATCGGCGAACTGCAGCCAAGGAGGCGGCAGTGAATGATGCACGCGGGTGGTCTCGACGTTCTCGTCCTGGTCCACATCTATCGGCAGCTCGACGGCCTCCACTTCGACATCATCATCGACTAACGGAAAGGGTGTGTAGTGCGTCTTGGCCTTACTGCTCGCCGGTTCGCTGGTGGCGACGCTCAGCAGCTGGGGCGCCAGCTCCAAGGCGTTGGCAATCAGAAGGGTTGTCGCACAGCAGAGCAGCAACTGCAATGAGGCCATGCTAGTGTAGCTGCTGGTTGATGATGATCCTTTGCTCCTTTTTGCTGCTGTTGCTGCTCCTTTAAAGCTGCGGGCCTTCTGCTGTTCCAGATGGGAATGATGCTTGCCAGGCACAGTGCCTCGGCTTTTATAGGCTGCCATAATGCTGCAATTGCGCCTGGTCAGCTTAGCTGGACAGTCAATGAACCCCGGGCGCCATGTCCACAATTGAAATTGAAAAGAAGCCACTCAAGTAAAAGACACACACACACACACTCGCACACAAGTCGTAATTAATTATAGTTGAGTATACGTCCTGTAAGCCGGCAGGCAACTACAATGGCAAGGACAATGACAAGAACTTGGACTCCTTGTGGTGCTTCTCGGAGAAGGCAACAGCCGAGATGATGAGAAAATTGGAAATCTATTCCGATGCCTTTCCCATTCGCAGCATTCTATTTGATTTCATTTGTGCCGCTGCCGGTGCCCGCTGCCGCTGCCACTGCCATTGCCGCCTTCCTTTTGTATTTCCGGCAATTATTTTCGACGATGTGCCAATATCGCTAACGACAGCAGCCGGCGGCAGGAGACGCGCTAACGACTTCATAAGCAGTGCCAGCCATCTGATTTCCATTTGATTTCAATTCGAATGTACATATATAGCCTAAAAATTCTGCTGCTCAGGCTCGGGCGGAAGTAATGCCGACGCCATTTTTAAAAATGGCGCACACGTGTGCGACGTGCTTATGGCAGCTTTCCGTTCCAAATGACATGACAGCCACTCTAACAAGCCTAGTCAATGTCAATAAACAGACAGGCGAGCTGCCATAGGGAATATTCTTATGCAAACAGGGCTGGGCACGAAAAAAGGTAAGCTTTTTGCACAAACATGAGAATTCACAAAAAAGCAAGTAAAGCAGCTTATAAAGCGAACGATATTGCGTGGTCGTATCCAGAACTTCTGAGTCATAATAATCATAATAATAATAAGGATAATAAGAATAATATTTATAGAATCAGAATAGAAATCATTAAGACAATAATATTAATATTAATTATAATAATAGTAATTAATTTATTAAGTAAAAATTTAAAGTTCAGCTATTTCGCTGTTTTTTACTTAATAAAGTAATTATTATTATTATTATTATTATTTGTATTATTATTATTATTTTTATGATTCATAGTTCAAGGTTTCATTTCACTGTTCAACTGAATTAATTCAGAAAAATGTTTAAGTACTAAATATTTGCATACCCTTAGGGTTTTCTTTATTTAACCCTTAGGGTTTTGTTTATTTAAATTGTGGAATAGTCTAGTTTAAGGCTATGACTAAACTGGGCTAGTGAATAAACTATTGCGAACTTCTTGATTTAATTCATCCCTGGTAGGTAAGAAAGCAAGTAAAATTGTTTCGGTCGAGTTCTGACGACTTTGCAGCACTCTCTCCGACATTAAGTAGATTTTCCTGATTTGGATAATAGGAAAAAATTATAGAAAATTATAGATTCTTATGATCTATTGTCTACCATAATAGTTTTTGGGGTTTTCAAATATATAATAGCTGGGTTTTCTCGGCCTAGCCCGATCCCAGCCTTTGATTTAAGTTTTAGACATAAGATTTCCACCCATATTCCGCTCTACACTTGCGATGTTATATATTTATTCCATTCGGAACTAAGTGTAAGAGCATGAGGGAGGAATACCATGTCGATAGACGGGCTACCTCAAGTGCTAAGGCAATACGCTTCATATACACTTTTGTTTCCATGCAGATGGTGGTAGGAGATAAAGACCTGTCAATATGTTGACTGTATATGTTCTCCTTAACACGGTTAATTCAATTTGCTGATTCGTCGAAATTTTGGAGACTGCGTAGCTAAAGGCAGCACGTAAAAAGAATTTAAATGCTCTGATTTCGGCATTGGGTATACTGCAGGGTGCGTTGGCAATTCAATTTGATTAGAGCACTTGAACATAATGGATGGCATCGTTTTGCCTGCTGCCCCAATGAGAGTTGGACGTGGCCGTTAAGCAGCTTAACCCTACTGCGGTTCACCTTCATTTCCTGGCGCCAGACGAACTAATTAAACGCCTTTGCCTCAGACTTGGCCTTCGTCGGTGCCCAACTAATTAGAGCAGCTGTCACAGGCGGAGCAAAGCGTTCGGCGCACAAATAATTCAATTAAACTGCTCACGAACAGCAGCCAGAAATGTGCAGAAACAACAGCAAAGGATGCCAGGACAAGACAGCGGCAGGAGGAGAGTGAACGTTTAGGCAACGCGAAAAACCGCATATACAAACCGCAAACCAAGGCCCAAGTCCTGGAAATACCAGAGTACCAAAATGCCAATTCCAAGATCTAATATGTCATAGAATTAAGTTTGCTTGTCGTGAAGCAACCTGAAGGGGTTGGGCTTAAATTCTGCGAATAATCTTGTGTGGAGCACAAAAATCTGCAATTAGACGAGTTAACTAAATCCCCCTACAGTATTAGAGCTGATCCGCGATTCCCTTCATTGCATATATCAGGTTATAAATGCCCCTCATAACATGGATCGCTGCTCGATCCTGGTGCTCCAGGCACCCATTGGACACGCAGTTTGCTTCGTTGATGCAAAACTCTTTAATGTACAATGTGGCGAATGGAACATGCGTTGCCATTGGTGGAATAAGAGACCCAGACGGCGATTGCGTCATGTACAGACAGTCAATTGGGGGCACGCATTGTGGCGTTAGATCCTGCAACGCTTTCGGCTGCATGTGCGAAAAACGTCTGGTTGCGGCCTCTGAGACTTGTTTGGCGATTTTTGGAAAATCCATCACTCCTTGGTGGAAATGGTGGTAAATTGGCGGAAATCATTTGTATGACAGTTGTTGCTTGTTTACCGTTCGATCAGTTTCATAGCTTTTTGAGAACATTTATTTTATGCGTGCCACGCATGCATATATATATTACAAGAATATATGTATGGGTATAAAATAAACTAAATCCTGCTACATCGTGTATTCGTGCGTATATGAATGAATGTATACATCCCGTTTGCCTATCAGATCCTTGTGCTAGTTTAATGGGCATAAGATCCAAATTTACTGGAGCTCTTACTCCCAATGCCTGAGTTAACTGCAAAAAGAAATTGAGAAATGGTGCTTGAGGAACATGGCAACGCTTAAAATACAACTGCAAACAGCAGCTTGGCTGTGAGCTGTTGCAGTCGAGAGCTGTTGGGCTGGGTATGAGTTTCGGGGAGGGATCTGTTGGCTCAATTAAATCTTTCACGCGCCAAAATGCTTGGGCACGGTCAACTTTTTGGCGTCGGCAACGTTTTAATTTGCATTAAAACGCGAAAGGGAAACCTGCCGGGGCAACTATTAAACTAAACTTACGGAACCTTGGCCATAAGTTTTTCGGGTTCATGTTTCGTGAGCTTGCATACAAATGGGCCAAGAAGCTTCCCACTGCTCCGCCCTTCCCCCCGGACAGCCCGGACAGCCGAACAGCTTGGCTGGCATTAAGGCTTTAATAACTTTGGCCGCAAATCAAAGTCGCCTACAGCGAATCGGCAAAAATTGAAGGGCCAACAAGTTGCCGCATTGCGTGCCGGCCATTTTTTTTATGGCTGCGCCATTTTGTCAAATGGCAGGCAATAAAAAATGGCCAAGAAAAAACGCTTCAACAAATGTCAAACAGGCATCAGCTTAGCCGGTTTGCATCTAGACTTTCTTTGCTCTTAACCCAATTATTGCGGGTGTTTTTTTCTTAAATATTATTAATTATTATTGAAATCAAGATTATTAATAACAAACATTTATCATACTTCAGACATAAAAGAGCTAAAAATATAAGTGCGTCTCAGACTTAAGCAAAGTCAATACCTTAAGAACTTTTCAATTTGATTTATTAAGATTTTGTTCATATTATTTTTTTGCCATTGAGATTGGGCTTGCAATTATTTACATTTATTTTTATACCCTTTACCCATAACAATGGGTTATATAGATGGACCAATGAGGAATGAATGTTGTTAAATTTAATGTTGTTTTTAAATAGGCTCATGTTTGTTGGACTGCGCGCTAAATACGTTAGTTAATACTAAATACTAACTTAATAAGTAGTTGCTAGGCTTCAACTCCTGGGTGGAGCTGAAGATACTCCAATTGGACACTTTAATGCGGATGCGTAGAATACTTTAGATATACCGCCGGGAGGCATCCATGTATGACTGATATTAATAATATGAATACTGAAAGAAATTAATGCACGTTCATAGGCTTCTAGTGCTTGTGTTCTACTACTAAAAGGGTTGGTCTACTACTAAAACTAAAACGAAGTTTATTGAAAAT